CCAATGAAGAAACCAATATCGTTGAGAAGCTGAAACATATGAAATGATTCGAGTACACTGAACATTAGTTCAAGAGCTTGATTATATTGACCATTCGCTCCACTTGTATCAGTGAGCTTCGTTAAGTGAAGAAGTCGTCGGTGAATGCATTAGTATGAGTAAGATCACGAGCATCCATACGAACTGAGATTGATTATAGCAGAGTTTTTCACAAGAAGGGAATATTAACGATTGCACTTGTGTCGGTAGAATTAACGATGGTAATCGACCGAGGTTCGCTTGAAATTCTCCGGCCGAAATTTCGAGAATTGGAATCTCAAACTGTGAATTTGGTCGGATTCAAATCGTTTGGATGCCATCACTAATTTGATGGCATTCAAACGGTTAGAATCCGACCAAATTCACAGTTGTTAATAACAATAATAATAATAATAATAATAAAAATAATAATAATAATATTTCTGCCAACAGTACTGAATTTGTATGATTTATTATTGACTGATACAAAATTTGCATCAGCGGTTAGTGGTAATGACACAGAATTCAGTTATAAGATAGAAACGCATACCACGATGTGCGTGAATTCGGCACACCCATTGATTGTGCCAGGAATGACACCAAAAACAGCCGATACGATCAAAATATACATCGCTACTCGATCAGCCTGAAGAATTTTGTGGTCTTTTCATGCAAAATGTTGCGAGAAACACAGAATTGTTTTTCGTATAACTTTGAAAAATCAAATGCCTGTGGAACAATTTCTGATAGGAATTGAAGATTTGCATTAAAGTGCATAACTTACAGATTTATCACGCGCTGCTTGTCGTACTCTTGATAAGTGCTCCTGACGATTCGCACGCAGTCTCTTCAAGCCTATCACGAGAGCAATCGTCAGAATACATGATATTGTGTTGACGACCATATTTGACAGCCCCCAATAAGCACGAAATTTCTGAATGAATAAACGAAAACTTTTTAACTATTCATATGTTTCCTTCATACTTTATTTTCCATTAGGTTCTCACAAATTAATAGCAACTTATACGAGAATACATTGCCGATTGAATCTGATTAAATAATGTATTTTAAGATTCAATTACCATAAGATTACACATGACATTACCGTTCATTTGATCGAATAAGTTTTTGATATGAATATATGCGATGTAAAATAATTGCTTCATATATTAACTTGATTACTACTTGTTACTTACACATTGAGCGGTTGTTTTGTTGATCGCTGTTAGCGATCGGCGGAATGTTTTAATTGTAGAGTTATGATTATTTATCGGATTGGTACTTGGCTACGTTTAATTGCGCAAAGTATTCACGGCAACTAATTAAACACTCGGTTGCGCTCACTTGGTCTGCTCATCTAGCCAGCGGGGTGGTGTCAATCAAGGCTAAAACAATGCGAACGGAAACGCGAGCATTGTGGCCAGCAACGTTGCAAACATTTGATAGCCTGGCCAATCCAGGTAATCCAGGTAATTAACTTGATTAGAAGCAAAACCTTAAAAAGAAAGTTACAATGCTCAAGGGACAGTCTGTGCACTGTTCCTATGACAACGTTAGTAGTTCAAGGTAGAGCGCGACCAAGTGGTTAGATTGATTTTGTACCTCAGCACTTGCTGATTCAGAACGCGAACCACTTGCACTGCGTGATCGCAGGATGCATGAACTCGATTCACGCGGTTTCGATGCTCTCTGAGTTTATGTGCACCATTTTGAATGCCAGTTCTTTTTTAAAATTAGGTGTTAATGATCACAATATGCGGTCACATACCGTGGACGTGAAACAATCGAATGATGTGCATCCAGGTACTGCATGAATGTGGGTGAATCGAAACAGAATGGTCAAATCAAACAGAGCCATCAATAGAGAAACGATGAATCCACCAATGAAATATCTGAACCATCAACTTTTATATGGCAAAGTGCGTGAAATATTTGCCAAGTTAGAATGACTTTGAAGAGGCATGAATTTCATAGTTCTACGGCGGTGATTTTTTCCACAAATGTTACTGTTTGATTGTGTGTGTGTTCAATTTTCTACGAGACGGCACAAGATCGAAGATGTTGTGGGGTTGCGTAGAAATGCATGCGCTTTCATGCCTCTCCGAAGTCATCAAAGTGATATTAATATTAATAGAATGTTCACGCTTTCAAAGTGATATTAATAAAATGCTATGATGTGCTTCCTGAAATTCTCAACACACGAAGGAACAGTTGAATAGTCACTTCTTTCGATCCAATTTGAAATAGTGAGTCGGAAAAAACAATGCGATAACACGATCAAGTGCAATCAACGTAGTTATCGTACACCCAGATTTCATCAATGCTGCCGGCATAGCTCCAGAGTAAATCACCATTACTGCATTGTAGTTGAACTCCTCACCTGAATTATTGGAAACGGATTACTTTGACAGTTGATACGTTTGGCTTTAAGATGCGGTAACCATGAAAAAGCTCTGCTCATATAGATATCAATGTTCCCTAAATTAAAGCTTCATAGAAGTGTTCTTAGTGAGCGATCGAAATGAACACTATTTAACGGATTATTTTTTGGTTGATTTATTCTTTCATCAGCAATACAGATGGACTGAAAACAAAAAGTCTCGACGACATAATTGATCAAACTAACCGAATCAGTATAACATTTCAGAGCTTCAAATAAAATGAGAAGATTTGCTTCGAAACATAGATCATTACAGCAATTGAAAATTCCACTGACTCACCTTCAGGAACCCAGAAAGTGATCAAAATTATAAGATAGGGTATTGACAAGAGTGCATACGCAAAATCAATGAATGCCAACGATGCCAATAGGATGAGATTTGGATTACGTCGCAGTTTTGCATCTCCTCCGAACGCAATCAAAACAATCAAATTCGCGAGTACTTGAAATGTGCAAATGATCAGAAGGAATATATCCACTAAAAGCGTAATCGTATTACTGATCATCACTGAAACACACCGTATTCATCACAGTTTCGTTTTCGTTTTAATTTCGTATCATTAATATCTCGTTACTCAAATGACTTTATCACATGCTTACCAGTCCCAATTCTCCGCAAATCAGTACTACAATCAACACATACGACCTTCTGATGAGTTCTAACAATAAGCTTATAGCAGATGTTTCATGGATCAGTGAATCATTTCCTGCACCATTTTTAAAACAGACGAAGAAATCAACAGAATCTGTCTATCGACTGCTGCATTTTACTTGGAGGTTAATGAAGATTCATCAGTGCTATTCCTAATGACTACGAGAAACAATTTTACCATTCGCCTTCGAGGAGTCAGTGAAGCCTAAGTTTTAGTTAAATAAACTGCTCGCTTCTAAAGGCGTGATCAAAAGGCGCTTTAGGCGAGCGAGACCGGCTATGTCTTAGCTTTAGATACTCATTGATGTAGATAAAATCTGATCCAGGAAACGGAAACTCATGTTAAGTGGGCACAAACAAGTGAGGCAACC